GTGTTCAGAAAGTAATGATGTTTTACTTGAAAGAATATAAAAACAAATGCACATTAAATTTATTTAAGTATTAAGATGTTTGGAAAGTAAAGACATTTTGCCAAAAAGGATATAAAATCAAATGTTAGTTAAATTTATTTAAATATTAGGATGTTTGGAAAATAAAGACATTTATAGGAATTAAGTCCTATATATATATATTTTTAACCAATAAAATCCCATTAGAAGGTTTGTTTGATAAACAATAATTACTAGGGAAAATACCACCAAAATACTTGGTAGACATAGTTGTAGACCTACCACATATTATTTTGGGACCATTTAGAAAATAACAATTATAACTCCCTTCACCACCCCCACAAATTGGAAAAAAAGATTTTCACAATCCTGTGTGAAATTATTTTGTAACCAATACACAGAGGCCCACACCTCTATATGAAATTAGATTTTGGCTCCCCTTTATGGATATAAAAATAGAACCATACTGCTTTTCTATGTTCAAAACAATTTCAGAGGCCAGTTTGTTTTACACATGCATATACACATATACACAATAGAAAATGACAGCTAGCGGCTGACAACTAAGGCCTTGTCTACAAACTCAGACATTAGGCTAACCATCATAAAATAAGTCTCTCCACACCACAATTAGTTGATAAAACAAACTTCACTACAAGGAAAATTGAACATTTTTTTTGTTATTGTATATTTCTGAAAAGAATATATAAATGTTATTTCAACTGATGTTCTAATTCTACTTATCCTTCAAAGAATAACCTTTTTATGTTTCATTGAAAAAATGTATTGTTGTCACTGTTAAATATTTGGAATCCTGACACTCAGATAGCAACAAATCCTGTGTAGGCAGATCCTGATACATTTTGCCAGAAAGGATATAAAAACAAATGCAAGTCAAATTTATTTAAATATTATTATCAAAAATGTAATCACTTTAATTTTCAATGAATGCAGCCAAATGAGAAGGCAATTTATTGATTCTATATTTAAATCTAAGTTTTTCTCCCAAAATTTTGAAAGACTGATTTCAACTTTTATGTTTATGAATGTTCTGCCACTTATGAAATGTTCTCATGATCAAAACAAATAAATATCTGTGAGTATGGATGATATAGAAGAACTTACCATTTTATATTAATGATCTTATTTTTTTCTTGGATTTGTTTCGTAGAATTTATCCTTGCATTGTCATGCTGGGGAATAACATCTTTTCTCTTTACCAAAGCATGACATTTTCAATGTAATGCTCCCCAGTAAAACTCTGAAATGTACTGTTAGATGAAAGAGATGATAAACTAATACCAGACAGTTTCATACCATTCAACCTTAGTGCTGCCTTGGTTGGTTGATTGTTAATTCATAGAATTAAAATATGTAATTGCAATCAGTTTCTGAACACTCTAACTCTTATTTTATGAACTTACTCATGCCATCAAAAATGATGGCTGATATGAAATTGATATTTTGTTATATCCTTACTATTATTAAGAGATTTTTACTTGTGAATCTTTAGATAAGTATTTTTGTTTTTCTCTTTCACAGAGATGGTCTTGTCACTTCTCAGCTTTTGTAAACATCTTCGAATGGTGATTTATCATTATTTTCTCAAAGTTATGTCGACCTGGCTAGACAAGGGAGACAACTCTAGTATATCAAATGCATACAAACAAAAATACATAAATACCTGTGATGTATTATATATGTACAGATGTAAACACAAACCTTATTTTATAACAGAATCTCTTATTTGGAGGAAAAATAATAAAAGCAAATTTAGGTTTTAAAAAAAATTAATAATTAAATGAGCACAAGCAAAATTTCTGTTTTAACATTATTCTTTCATGATTTGCTTAATTTTTTTTGTTAACCTTTAAGGGTTATTTATTTCAGATAGGAACACACAAACAGGTACCGATGAACAACAAACCCAATATTAACATTTGTAAATAAATTTTATATAACAAAATACAAAATATGGGAAAAGTATGGAGTGACAGACATATAATTAATAAAAGGACACTTAACTGATATTGGATGTCAGTTCAAATGTTTGTGTTTCAGGAATTTGGAGTTTGAATGTTCATAATGACAGACAAAGTTGCTATAGAATGTTCACAAAAGTTGGTTGTTTTTTTTTTCTTCTGCAATGTGAAATATAGAATTCCAGAATAATGTTTGTGTCCCAATTCTTCTTGGTTAATTAGATTGCATCCAAGATAAAAAAAAATAAGATGTTTTCTTTGTATCTATTTGGGTACAATATTTCTTTATTCTTTACCTATTAAATAGTCAAATAGACCCAGGATCTCCAGGGCAAAATTTATTTATTCCCTACACAACAAGTAATGGAATAGGTTTGTGGGTGTATTTCTCATCCCTTATGATCACATCATGAGAGTCTATTTTTTTCACGAACTGCTGTCATTGGAGATCATCAGGCAACTCAAATTACAATAACAAAATCCCACTTGGTGATGTACGTTACATGAGCATAGTTGACCAATTCTTACTCTCTTTCTTAAGAGGTCATACTGTTTGTTGTCAAGTGACTCCAAATCCCTTTCCGACCCTCTCTTAGCCGAAACGCAACTCAGTCCAGATAGGTAGTAAAAAACGAAAAAAAGAAAGAAAAAGGAGAAGGAGGAACACAAAGACACCAAGTCTCTTATTAACTTGATTGTATGCCTGATTGAATAGTAAACATTGAGGTCCATGTCACACTTGTTAACAGTAAGGTCAACATTAACTTCTAATAGTATAGAGGTATCCTGGTGGGATATCATTCTATATGTTAACTAATTTCAGATTCTTTTCAGCTACTTTTCATTATCTGCTGGTTTCAATTGGTCTAATTGTGAGCACTACTTGTTTGAATGAATTATTTAGTTCTTCAGAAGGCACTCATTGTAGAGAACTCCTTTCCAATCCTACCACATACATTGCACTACCTTTTTAGGCCCAGAGTACAAGGGTTAAGATCCCTCCCTCAACAAAACAAAAGAAGGGACTACCTACCAGATGGATACTTGCAGACTTTGGTATGGACAATTAATATTTGTCTACAGACAAAAGTATAAATATAACCAATGTTTACCTAGAGACTGAAGTATAAATATGAATTTACAAACTCAATTATAAATACAGCAAATGTTTACTTCCAGACTCAAGTATAAACAAGACCAATACTTACCTAAACACTCAACTATAAGCACAACCAATGTTTGCAAATATACTTGGGGAAATTGAGGAGATGAAAATTTGAACTTGTAAAAATATTTCACTCATCCACAAAGAAAAGGCAAAGGAAAAGAAGAAAGCATCTAAAGTACAAATCCAACATATTTTATAATTCAGAAATTATTGAAGTGATTTATAAAAATTATTTTTCCTTTTTAAAAGTTCAGTTTCTTCGTATGAAGACAGTTTTCATACAACAGGAAATAGACTAGACACAGGAAGATTTCTTACTGACTTTTTCTCGAACTATTACATCTGGCTATTATTCAGATTATAACACAGCCTGACTACCTGATATATTGTCTTTTTATTTATATCTTACATGTAGATGTCATAGTAGACACAAAGTGCATGAGAATATTTAACAGAAAAATCTTGACTCCATTTTAAAGTGTGTTATTTGTAGAGCTTCAAATTTCAAATAACTTAATAGATATACATGTTTAAAAGCTTAAACTTTACAGATTCATAAATACTGTGTAATTTTTATCTTTCTTCATAAATTATAATTTAATTAAATTTTATTTTATATTGGTATCTACTCAGTAAGGATATCCTATCTTATTAATAATTTTCAATAAAAAGAGGTTTTTATTTTTTTAAACTGATTAATTAATAGAATATGTTCTAATAATGTGTTTGCTGTAGTTTGAATCTGTTTTATTTATTCATTTTACTAAATTTTATTTTAAATAAATTTTATAAGTTTTTCTTCACAAACACAATATATTAAATGACCAATGATTACCTATAGAGACAAGTACAAATATAAGCAATGTTTATCTATAAATACATGCATAATTTTGACATTGTTGGTTTCAATTTTATACAAGAATTACTTCAAAAACATCCCCCTACCCAAATTTATAGAAAAAAAACACACACAAATGCTTGCTGGAATTTCTTCCAAGACAATAAGATAGGTCACTTCTTGGTCTCATCAGATTCTTCTTTCTTGTCTTGAAATCAGAATGTTGCGATCACTTGTCTTTACCACCATTTTTGTGTTAACAGCATTCTTAGTTTGTCTTATTACTGTTGCTTTGCCTTGCATATATTGCTTATTTGCTTAATATTATTTTCACCTAGTTTTTGTTATTGTTTGTTGGGCATTTCTGCCAATTACATTTAACCATGGCCAATTACTCTACAGACATTAAATAACCCAACAGGGTTATTATGTTGTAAAATCCACCAAGCCATGCACAACTTACCTTATCTTTTGTGGAAAACCAAACACAGGTCCAGTTAGTGGTCATTCATTCTGCTTTCCCCATTATTGTATAGTATCCACTTTTCATCACTCATCAAAATTTGTTTAATTTTCATTACATTTAAGTAAGGAATCACATATTAGTTCTATGTTTTTTAGCTTTACTTTGTAGAAGCCACACATCAAACGGACTAACATAACCAAGATAATTTATTTAAGTTAATGATTTCCAACACTAGATTAGCATATTTTCAGTATTTTGACTTTCTCTTACATCAAATAACATTGATTTTTCTCAGACAGTAATCTGTTTGCTATCAGTCTTTACTGGTCTACTGGGCAGTGGATCAATAGTTTGCAAAAAATCTCTAATATGAAACTTTGCAAATCACTTTCAATACATCTGATCATATTCTCTCTGTAAACTATGCAACTCATTTTTTGTGTGCTTAAGGTGTATTTTTAGAAATTAGTTGTGTGTGTGGGTAATACAGATTCAGACTCACATTAAACAGAATGAGAAATAACTGATCAGTTCCTGTATGATTACAGAAGTTAAGCAATGTTGGGCCTGGTCAGTACTTAGATGGGTTACCACTTGAGAATACCAGTTACTGTAAACTTGGATGTGCAGTTGGTATAATGGATAATGACTCAGAATTGTTAATTGGAGACACGAGTTCCAATCCACATTAGATTCATTATATTCATTTACACACAAATACCATTAGGAAATGAATGAATCCACCTCTTCTCCTCTAGATATGGGTTAATTAGTAAAACTTGTATCATTCAGATATTATTATCTCCCAAAAAATATTCTTAAAGTCTAAAAATATTTTCTGGCTTCTTCTGAAAAGAGTTGGTAAGTCATAAAAAACAAAAAAAAATCAATCAATCAAAATAAGAACAATCTGTCTCTGTAGATTAAATAAAAGGTTCAGTTTGAAATTCCGTGATCTGACAAACAACTGCAGAAGGTCAGAGGGCACAACTGCCAAATGTTTGAATAACAACAACAAAGATGGGAATGTATAATAGATGTAAATAATTATATTTTTATCTTTCTGAAAATGATAAAAAAAACATACATGAAAATGTTTTTCAATTATCAATCTTAAAGTCAATGAATAAAATTTCACTAATTTCTTTCTTTTAAATTCTTATTCATCCAACATCTCTCATTATATAACCAAACCTGACTTTTTAAATTACTTTGAAAAAAACTATTTCCACCTGTTATTGATTTTTTTTTTTTTTAAGAATTTCAATCAGTGCGCATTTTCATGCTGATACATTCTTGTAACTGTACAGGCTCGAGAACAAAAGTTCTCAACCAGGGTCCATATGGACCCTAGGGTTTCATGTAACATTACTGGGGTCCACACAAAAAAATACCAAGTTGGTGGGGGGGGTCTATTGTAATATTTTAGTGGTCCATAAAGCATTTTCACTTCAGAACAGTTACTCACTTTTTTAATTTATTAGTTACTCACATATTTTAAAATAGTCTATTACTAGTGTACATAAATGTTGCATAGAATTTAATTGTTAAATACAAGTTTATTTTTCATTAAATTAGTTTTACTTCAAAATAAAGCATATACATTTACTATTTCTATAATACAATTCCAAAACTTATCTATTAGTAAAAAATAAAATAAGCTTTTTTTTTTTAATCAAATTGTTATGGGGTCCACCAAAACAAATTAAGAGTAAAAATGGTTCATTGATAAAAAAAAAAAAGTTAAGAACCACAGCTCTGGATAGACAACCAACCAAGTCTATAGAGTTCCTATACCATTGGTTGAGGACTTGTGATTACATGCTAACATAACTATCAATGATTTCCAAACTGTTTCATCTACCAAGTTCCACTCACAAGGCTTGGGTTAAACACACGGTATGGTTTTTCAAGCATTTCCCTATGGTGTCACACACTGGGATAATCTCCTCTGTACAATATTATCTAGAAGTCATCTATTTTAGATACTGAAAATTCCATGGACAGAGTGAGTAAGCCACAAGAAAGGCTTAAAGAAAATGATAGCAAAATGAACAAATACTCAGAATAAGAGAAAGACAGATACAATTTCTAATGAAGAAGGAGAGCATGAAAAACTTAACTCCCACAGGGCATATCAAGGAAAAGAAAGATAGAGGAAGGCAGCAGGTCACCTACTTAACAAGTGTTTGTGAATGGATGGTGGAAAGGAGGGTGGAAGGCTTGGCAAAGGGAGAAACACGTCTAAGGGCCATGAGGAATAGGAGGTTGTGGAGAGCCATGATCATCTACGTCCTGAAGGGACACAACATGCAAAAGAAGTAGTAGTTCACAGTAAATATAAGAAGCCTGTTAATTACTTAAAATTAAGCCCCTGATACTGACATCATGCTGGTCTATATAAGGCGTGAGACACAAATGAATGGCCTTTTTTATTTTGCACCTACTGCAGCATGGGCAGAGGGCAGACACTACTTAAAGGAAACTACTACTACAAGATGGTGATTTTAAATTACATTTGTGGTGATTTGAAGTTACAGCTATGGACTGTTAAAAGAAATCTTTTTCAGAAAAGATTAAAAGTTGAAAATACTTGGATTGATTTATACATGTACATGTTCTCAGTTTTCTGTTCAAAAAAGATAAAAATAATTGACCATTAGTATTAGGTAAAATTGATAATTATCTAATTACAGTGTGGTTTTATTAAAAACCCTGGAACAAGAAATGCAATATTTATGCTCTGTATGATATCTGAAAGAGCAATACAAAGAGAAAAGGATGTGGAACAATGTTTTATAGATTATACAAAAGAATGTGGAACTATGTTTTATAGATTATACAAAAGCACTTCATAAAATACATCAAAAAGAACTATTTGAACTGCTATGTAGGCTTCATTTATTTGGGAATAATATTAGAAAAATCCAGAATTTGTACTGGAAACAAACTGCCTATATAAGGATAGAAAATGAATTCACTAAATACACAAAAACAGGAAGGGGTGTTAAACAAGTATGTGTCTTCTCATTGAATTTATTCAATCTTTACAGTGAGGCAATTCTGAGAGAATTATATGCCCTACCAGGATTTACTATAAGTGGCCACAATTTTAACAAGATATACAGATGACACAGTGTTGATAGGAGACATGAAAAGTAAATTACAGGCATTCCTACAGATGGTAGTAAAGGAAAGAGGGAAGAAAGGACTAACCATCAATTGTAAGAAAACAGAATGTATGGTTATCAGCAAAAGGAACAGTCCAAGATGCAAACTATGAATTGCAGACACCAAAATCAAGTAAACACAAAAATTTAAATATCTATCAATTGTTTTAACACAAGAAGGAAAATGTGGCATTGAAATCCAAAGGCCCATTGAAATAGCAAAAAGTGCCTTCCAAAAGTTAAGCAGAATATTAAAAACAGGAAAATTTAATTAGAAACTAAGAAAATAATACTGGAGTGTTATGTAATATTGCTCCTCCTATATGGCAATGAATGCTGGACAATCTCCTTACAGATGAAGAAGAAATTTGAAGCAACAGAAATATAGTTTTACAGAAGAATGCTGAGAATACTATGGACTAAAGATGTGAGCAATAACAACATTTTAGAAAAAAATGGAAACAAAAAGGACACATACTTAAAATCAGAAAAAGACAATTGAGATTTCTAGGGCACATAATGAGGAAAGAAAATTTGGAAAATTTAACACCCACTGAACATGAAGGAAGCAATGAATAACCTTCCTAACAAACTTGTGTAAATGATTAACAGAACAGAGATTAGAAGAGATAGCAAAAAGATAAACATTGTTAAGAGCTACAAAGGACAGGAAGTTGTGGAGAACCATGATCACCCACTTCCTGAAAGGATATGGCCACACAGAAAAAGAAGAATTTAGAACTAACATACTCACTTCCAGCCAGAGAATAAGGGAAAGACTTTTTGAAAGTAAATTCAAAGAACTTTACAAGCATCCTCAATGTTAAAAACTGTTTCACTAGTCAGTCACTTGACTTAGAAACACCATCTAACATGTACACTGTTAGTCGACTCAAGAATACAAACTTGACAATGCAACATCATTACTTCCCTTACTCTTCTGAGGCAAACCATCAGCCAAACATCAAGCAACCTACAACTGTAATAACTTTTTCTTTTACAATGATGTTCATCCGATACAATGATCAAGAGCCACTCGAGGTAGAGGATTACAGAGTAGTGAGGATATGTGAGGAAGATAACAGTTGATCCTAGACTTAAACTGGTTAAGATTGTAGAAGCATTCTCTTGGGGGTCGGTTTTCCTTAAAGCAATGGTTCGTGTGAAGAAGCTGCTCTAGTGGAACTTACATCTCACCAATGGAATACGAAGGGAATGAGGGTAGTTCGCTACAATATATGTAGCATGGCAGGACTTAGACGTGAAGGCTAGAACTGGTGGAACTAAGGAATGTAGTTCGTCTGAACATTTTCCATGGAAATAACGACAGAGCAACAAGATACTAGCGACGTTACGTCTGTAAGAAAGGGATTGCAGGGTGGAAAATAATTCGTTACCCACAAGGACGCTTTTGGACTCTATCGAGACTGGAAAGTGAAGATGGGGCAACTTCTGTACATATATAGCAGCAGTCCTCCATTTTCGACCTTGGCTAAACTATTATACCGAGTTAAATATTCATATTTTTGTGTTAACTTTTTCTTATCACTCTTTTGGACGAATTCTCTTTCTCACGAAATCTAAACTATTTTTTTGTTTTTTCTTTTACAGTACATATACTTTGACCTATCTGATTCATTTAAACTTGTTCTCATTTTGATTATTATAAATGTTATTATAGACACTATGTTTCAGTCAAGTACGCTTTGATCATCTTCATTATTTTGTCTTATATGTACATTAACATATTTTGTCCATGTGGTGCTATTCTTTGTTCATTCCTTCTGAACAAAAGTATATTATTCCACTACTCTTAGGTGCCTAATTGAAGCGGGGGGTGATTTTTTTTTTTTTTTTTTTTTTTTAAATGTTCCTATCTCTCATCCCGATCTTATTAAGACCACCTCATTAATTTTCACTTTTTGACCACCTTTTATTGCATATTGAGAAAAATTCCGACCCCTAATTATTAAGACCCTGCTTAAAAGTACCGGATCCAGGGATTGAATCCACGACAGTAACTCTTGATTAACCAGTATACTTACTACCATAAAAAATATAATTGCGCAATTGCTTTGCTAACTATAAGGATAATATCAAAAAATGAAAGAAATGGCAAAATGAAAGACCATGTGTATGAAATAGAAAAACTTTTTAAAAATTTGTTATACCAAATATATGTGGATGGACTCAAAATACCTACCGTAAGTGCACCCAAACATTAAAAACGAAAGTTAAGAACGGCTAGGGAGAAGTCGGAAGAACGGAAATGAAAGGTGCTATTTTATACAAAGAAAACATGTCAACAACATTTGTAAATATTTTATATGTATTCTCCCAGTCCCTGAAAAAGCAAAGCTAGCGAATATTATAAAAGTTAAAGGGCAGTACTTTTTCCACGTGGTAGAAGAGAATTTGTTTCAATGATTTTGATACAGTAATATTTGTTTTAAATCAGACATCAACTTTAAATCAGCTAATTTTTCTCAATGTTTCAGAAAAGTATTTTTTATATTTTAAAGTTTTTTAATAAATAGAGTTATTCCGTGTTGACAGATCTGCCAATATGAATGAATTTACAGATTTTACTAATAAGTAGAAAAAAAGATCCCAATCAATTTAAATTCGGTTTGAAATACACTAATATATTTTCGTATAGTAATTGGCCATGTTTAATTGGCAAAAAGATCCAACAAACGGAATTGACAGTTTCCAATAAACAATAACGAAAAAAAGAAAAGAACCAGGCAAAATAATACTAAGCAAACAAACCTAGGCAAATCAACAGTAATCAGGCAAAAAGTTAACAAAGTAAGAATGGTGCTAACACGCAAAAGGGATACGTCAAGCGACTGTAGCGTTCCGACTTCAATGCAAGAAAAAACAATATGGCTGATGGGACAGAGAAGTGGTTCATTTAATTGATTAAGAAGAAATCCTAGCATACATCTGTATGATTTGTCTATAAATTTGGAGAAGGGGGGTATTTTTGCAGCCATTCCAGTGAAATGCCCTTTACCGAATGTCGGTACTCCCTCTCTGTGAAGATTATTTGGAGGCGCTCCAGCACTTGCTCTTCTCCCTCTTGTGGGACAGGAGAAAGCCTATGGTCTGCAGAGCCCTCTATGTCCAGTGTCCGTGTCGAGGTTGATTTTCCTACGCCGAACATTGACAGAAGATCTGCTGTGTGCGAGGAGTGTTAGGGACGCCTTCCCTAGCATTACTATCACTCCTTTCCGTTCCGGGGTAGGCTCCGGGATCAATCGGAATTCTTCAACGAGTGTCGAAAGACTTCGGTCCAGTGACCTTTCACGGCCTATGAGGATATTATATCAAGGATTAGGAAAGGGGGTGGGGGTCTCGTCAGACTCGCTTTGTGGACGGTTCGGCTTGTTGGCAACCAACTTGAGTTTTTTTCAGGGCGGGCTTGGCCAAAATGACCAATTGTCACCGGTATGATCGTGGTTTAGAGGATACGACTGGGCATGTCTTCTTTCATTGTCCACTGGTCCGCCCGTTCTGGAATCATGTCGACGAGTTGATATCTCGTGTCAATCTATCTCGCATACGTGTACGATAATGCATCACCCCTGTGGTCTGAGGTAAAATGGTTGGTGTTTCTGATGCTGCTAGCGGTGGCAAGAATGGTGGTGTGGGTGACGGGGATGGAGGGAATCTTACGGGACGAACGCTATTCTCATCACGATTTGATTGGATTATTTGAGGATCAGCTCAAAATGAAAATCAGAACTGATATAAATCGTTTGGTCTCGATAGATTTTAGCAAAAAGTGGATGCAAGCTGTGAGTCTGGTTTGCATGAATCGGCCCAATCTTGATTTACCTCAAGACACAACGGGGCGGAGTCCTGACAGACCCTATCCCTGGTTGAGCTAGACTCCTTTTTGTTCACTTAGTTAATGGGAATGAGTGTCTATCCTGGCGTTCTCTTTTGTTATGGCCCTTGCCAAGATTCCCAGCTTCTCCAGTTTGTTTATCCTCTTTATATCTTGATCGGATCAGCCTTTGATATTTCCGCATTCTTAAAATTATTTTGTCCTTCCCTCGCCTCTAGCGGACGAGCTTCTAGATTCTGCTTATCGACAGAACACAGCGGCCGCTCTTATTTTTTGGTGGGGTGGACTTGTCTTACTAACACATTTAACTTGAATGTTTTGTTTATTTTTATTTTCTTCGTCGGGTTCATCCCCTCCCCCATCATTTCATATATTAGCTATTTTTATAGAAAAATTGTAAAAAACATGAAAAAATATATTGTACTTATTCAAAATTTTTACATTTTAAACCAAATGAACTTTCTTTGCTACCTAAAATTACATCATGTATAAAAATAACTTTTACTTTACAAGAAAACTGCTTCTTTTTGTACACTTATTGTTTACGCAATATAAGGCCCAAGAGGCACTCAATGTAGAGGGTTACTGCGGTTTTCTTATGGACGTAAAAGGAGGAAGAAGTGCAGATTATTAACATATATAGGATAGATAACGAATGACCAAGAATATTAAAATCTTAAAAGGCTTACAGCCACATCACGTTGAAACACCGGTTCCCGTACGATCACCGAAGTTAAGCAACGTCGAGCTGTTCAGTACCTAGATGAATAACCGCTTGGGAATACCAGGTGCTATAAACTTGGATGTAAGGGTGGTGTGAAGGATAATAGTTCAGAGTTGTAAATTGGAGAGATGAGTTCCAATTCCCGTTGACTTCGTTATATTCACTTACGCGCAAATATCCTTGGGAAAGCTATGAATCTACTTCTTCTCCCCCAGCTATGAGTTAGTCAGTAAGACTTGTATCACTAAATCATTATTTTTTTTTTTTAAATCCAACAATTTAAAAATAGTTTTTAGCTTTAAATAACCTGCAGGGGTTTGATAAGCCGTAGAAAACGAACCAGTCACTCAGTCAATTAAAAGGTTAAGTAAGTGATCGAGGAAGCATCCTCTCCAAAGCCTGATCTACAAAGCGGCGGTTCTTAGGGAGAAGATATCCAAATGGAACGTCCTTCTTACCCATGGGATACGAAGGGAATGAAGATTATTAACTCCCGTGTACATGAATGGCAAGTCTTAGCTGTAAATGTATGAACGGGTGGAACTATGGAATGTAGTCCGTCAAAACATTTTCTATAAAAATAGCGCCTATGGGAAAGGATTGTAGGCTAAAAAAATAATTAATCACTCACAAGGCTGTAAAGATGCTTTTGAACTCTGTCAGGGATGGAAAGAGAGGATCGAGCATGCATTTATGTGTGTGTGTGGGGGGGGTGATGACACTAAAGGCAAATTCCTAATATACCCGTATTTTAATATTTCTAATGGGAATTTTGTTCAAGTTTCCAGCTCTAGAATCCCTATCTACCAAGATTGAAGTGCTCGCCTTGCCCGATAAAATCGGCTATACCCCACCGTGCGCCAACCGTGTATTTCTCTGATACGAGATTTTCTTTCTTACCCACTTCTCTTCCGTTCTTATACAGCTCATTCAACATAACGCTTTTGTTGCTTGCAAAACTCTACTTTGAGTGGCGCTTGGGCCTTATACTGGGTGAATTTTAATATAGAAAAATACTCCTACTATTTCCTTCCATTTAAATGCACTCTTATAATTTGAAAGGGAATATTCAGGAAATAAACTAATATTTTTTTCATACTTATATGTGCTTCGTCCTTCTACAGGTATCTGGCAATCCGAGTAACCGTTAAGGAAATTTCGAACTAAACTCTTTATGTAATCTAAGGGAGTAGATTGTTCTCGTTCTGCTATCTGTGTCCAGCAGGTTACCTTGGTCGACAGAAACCTGAAGAAGGCTGGATGATACTGTTACCGGGTTGCTTTTTGTGTTTAGATAGAAAACATGTGTCTCCTGGTATTATTTTCCCGTAACAATTGTGGCAGACTCGAATGTGAGTCCAAGTATAAATGAGGAACACAAAACAACATAAGACAACCGACAATGCATGTATTAACAAAAGAATTGCAATTACAATAAAGGAAGAAAACGTTTAAAGACTAATTACATGGAAAACGATTAAATTAGAGAATGTGTTTTTGTGTGTGAAATTTGTGTAGGCCTAAGTGATAGACACGTGTGTGAAAGAGTACAAAAAGTGACGAGAGAAAAGTAAGACATTGAAAATAAACGTGCCCCAGTGAGAGACACATTTTTCCCAAGTGCGACTACATCTTATAGCCAGAGTTGTAGAACTCTAAAAGAGAATGAGTGAGAATATAATTACCTACTTATAGGCTTAAGGAGCGTCCCCTAGCGACAGTTTTTTTTTTTTTTTTAGAAAAGTCAAGTGGGCGTTGCAGATGTGCTGGTCGGAAAAGTTGGAAAACACGTGTCTCCTGGTACATTGATCACATAATGTGACACAAATATGAGTCTGGGTAATAAAATGGGTAAGGTAACAACAAAACTATATATAAAAACAAATGACAAGTAACAAAACAAAAGTATACATAAACAATAGAAGATTGTTGCGTGTGACAAAACAATAGATATGAAAGAAGAAAACATTTAAACTAATGAAGATGTTGGTGTATAAAGTTGTGTAGGAGTCCTAGAGAATAGTAATGGAAAGGGAAGAGAAAGGTGTTGGTGTGTGTGTGTTTGTGTGTATGTGTGTATGCGCGTGTGTGTGTGCAGCCCCAGTGGGGAAAGCGTTTCTTCACGTTCGACCTATATCTTACCGTCTATGTGACTAATAGAAAAGAGAGGATGACAGAGAATGTCACTTCCTATTTATAGGCTTAGGGAACGTCCCATAGCGGCGACTTTTTTTAGGAAAGTAAGTGGGAGTAATCCCACATGGGATAACCCACAGTACGCTTTTATGACAACAAAGATGACAATAAACCGACTGTAGATAAATGTAAATAATGATAAATCATCCACACAGAAATTTAGACAAATATATATATATTTGTAACCATCATTTATATTTCATTAAAGGCTTATCAAGGAGGAAGTCTGTCAAATGGAAATGTTTAGGCATTACTTTAATAAGCGTAACCTAACTATCGTGTTATCAGCTATGTGAGGATTTTCAGAGGATTTTTTTTACAAAAAGAGCACCTAATATATAAAATACAGTAATTAACCAACCCAATAATTTTCAAGCACGAAGATTGATTGATAAATAAAGTCTCCTACCGCGTGGCATCAGTAAAAGGTGATATAGAAACATGTTTGATCATGTATCCATTAGCATATAAAGTCCTGTTCCAACGTGTTTAGTGTCAGCTCGCTAAGTGATGGCAGTTCATAATACCATTCATTAGTGGTGTGTATGATATCTAACTTACGTATAAAATGGCGATCAATGACAAAATTTGGTACTGGATATGGATTTTGTATTCATTATTATAACCTTGAAAACAAAAGTCAATCTATAAAATATCATCACTCAGGTTATTTGATAGTAAAGAAAATCATGCTATTTTTTCGGAACACAAAGAGGGAGTCATCTGCAAGTTATTTCTACCAAAGGAAATGACGATTAATTCAGTAAGGCTGTGGGAAATTCTGTCATCCTGTTTTTTTTGGTTGTTTGTTTGGTTTTTTTTTGGTTTTTTTTTGTTGTTTTGTTTGTTTGTTTTTTGTTGTTTTTTTTTTTGTTTTGTTTTCATTTTTAAAATTTTGAACGTTCGTTTTCCAAACCATAATAAAATAAAAAATAAAGAAAACATGGGTATGCCTGTTAAATAAACCATTTGTATTTACAAACATATGTACATCAATTCAAAATAGTCAAAAAGAAGTAAAATAGTCTTTAGCTGAATTAAAATCTTTGGGTAGTTGGTTCACAGAAAAATCTGTGCTTCAGTAGATAATCTTTGAAGGTCAATAAAGATTCGCTGACTTTCTCTACTGTTCCTTCCTGTATGCGCTGTTGGGTAGGAAAAAGTTATGGAACCACGTCTTCTTTTGTGCTTGAATGGCTTGGAGACAGTCGCATCTCTGCTGATGAAAGTCGAAATCTTGGATTGTTATAAGAGTTCAACCCCCCCCCCCGAAAATAGCTTCGAGAAAAACAGGGTTTTAGTTTTTTCTGGTTGGTCAAATATTTCACATGGTGATGTTAACTTCTAACCTATAGACACTTCGATTTAAACGGTGTGTATTGTATTGTGGTAAATAGTAATGGAGAACGAAAAAATATCTAGCTTAACTCCAGTGGATTCACAAGTGAATATTTGGCATTGTGGTGACATTTCCCAATTTATATATCGGTTCAGAAACTAGACAAGGATTCTCTGGATTTCAGTGCCGGTCTAAGTTTGTCCAAATCCCAGGTATTTGTCAAGCTATGATCGTTTGAAGTTAATCAAAACTCATCCATGTTTAATCATATATTTTCCATGATCAATTCTGGATAAGTTACTTTTTCTGTCTTTCTGTTTTTAAAAATGCCGATGGAATTTCGTTAAAATGAATGTTATCAGTGACGGATAGGTTTAACTTAATACTCTTCTTTTTCAAAAAATTGCCTATTGGATTTTAATGGAGTTTAATGGCCTACAACACAAAATTCAGAAAAATTAATACAATTGTTTGCTTTTTAATGTTTGACGCCCCAATTTCGAATAACGCTAACAAAATGTTTCTCCTTTTTCATTTAAGTTCCCAAATATTAAAATAATAAAACTGCTTCCGGGAAGATACTGAAAACACCAAATTCCTTTTTGACGTCGTATTGATCATTAAACGCTTTTGTGCGCCATTTGCCAGGTACCAAATATCAGCTTTCGGCATACTTTCCTTATATTTATCAGAAAATCATGATCCTACATCTGTTCCTATATTTTAGGTGTGCTGAATCCATTTTTGCAACTGAAAATTCCCCCAGAAGAAGTATAAATGGGTTTTTGGGAAAATTAAATAAAATCAAAAAATGAAAGAAAAAGAAATACATTTCCGATGATGCTAGTAGTAAATGAAGCGGAATTTTTATCACCCTATTTTTTCACTTGGTTTCAATGATTACACATTAGGTGACATTGTTTAATTCTATAAAAAAGCAAACATTTCCTTCTTCACTCTCTTTCTCCCTCTTGCTTCAAGATGTAACACAACGTGGATAAAAAGACGTCCTCCGCGCGGGGACATTCTTCTCCCTGGTCCATTAACGACTGAACTAACTACTTACTAATGCACAGCGCTTGTATGTGTCTTCCAAAACTTCCATCGATGAATTAAATCAACCTTTACTTTGATTGTTCCAACTCAGCGCAAGTCTGACTTCAGCTGGACCATTATAACCATGCTTAAACCCTCCAACAATGAAGTAAGTAGAAACCATTCTGTGGTCATTTCCAGCTCTGCGCAAGGCTGACTTCAGCTCAATCATTCTAACAACGCTTATTCTTATTTGCCCTAACTTCTGCACCAGAAAGAGAAAACGGACAAACACAAGAGACATTGAGAACTTTGTTTCCCTACAGTTTCCACTATAAAAAAAAAAAGACGGTCCATAGTAGAAACCTAAGTTTTTCTATGCTTCTTAATTGTTTACATGTGAAGAAACGTAAAGTACACCCAACACGCAACCTCCAAATGCTATCAGTTAAATGCAAAATTTAAGCTATTTCAGGAATTTTGGTTCTTTACTGCAAACAA